TCATCTGACCTCTGTAGCCTGAGTTTCTTTCACAGTTTGTAACGCGGAGATGCCGGCTCCGCGCAAAGGGTTGTGAAGGCTAATAAGATGTTTTGCTGAGTCAGTGTCATTCTCAGTTACGCACTGAGGTGCGAAAGGTCCTCCGAAAATCGATGGGCTCGGTGCCCAACACGGGGCCACGACTTGTTTTTTGAGTCTTTTGAAAATAAGCACTCCAATCTGCAGGATTGCAACGTGCCGAGGAGTTCCCTTGGGAACGCCTTCCATTAGAAAAAACATAACAAGCATATTGGACGATTGGCCAACTATTTGCCATAATCCTTGGCTTGCTTAAAATAGTAGACCGCATCTAGCAAATTCTTCACCCGCATCTGGCTTCCCTAGCCGTCTGGCCCCTGTAGTCTGTTCTCAACACAAGGGTCAAAATCAACTCCTCGTCCACGTCCCTCCCTAGCCTCAGGCACTTGCGGAAAGCAGGGCTCAGGCGGTGCCGGCAGAGGCACCCTGGGAAGTGACTCTGATGAAGAGGTAGCCTTCAAGTTCACTGCCAGGAAAGCAGTTGCAGAAGTCACAAAACAGAGGGTTCGCAGGCCAAATGAAGAGGCTCAAGTCACAAGGCTCAACAAATCAACTAGAGACACACTGTGAGAAGCAGAGGAAAGGCAATGGGGTGGGTCAGCTCGCTTGGGTGGGAGGCTCTCCCTACCTGCACCCACATATCTGGCTCTCTTGGCTGAACCACGTTCCTGATGATGGTGCGGAGATGCGAGCCAGCGTTGAAGCTGAGCAAGCTGGCCCAGCCCCTGCCCTGAGAGTAAATCCTCTGGGGAACCTTCCTGGACTTGTGACCCAGCGTCAAGGACCCACACTCGGGGGCCATCTTCTTCCATCTGACCCCTCACCCCACCTCCTACACCTTCAGATCACTTCCGTATCAGATGTTCATCCATAAAAGAAATATTGCTGCACGTATCTCTTAAAGATAAGATTCTTTCGGGGCGCCTGGGTGGCTTAGTCGGTTGAGCGTCCTACTTTCGCTTTGGTCATGATCTCGCGGTTCGTGGGTTCGAGCCCCGCGTCGGGCTCTGTGCTGACTGCCAGCTCGGAGCCTGGAGCCTGTTTCAGTCTGTGACTCCCTCTCTCTCTGACCCTCCCCTGCTCACGCTGTCTCTCTCTCTCTCCTAGAAATAAATAAAACATTTAAAAAAAAAAAAAAAAGATAGGATTCTTTTGGCTACCCCAACCATAATACCATCATCAAACCTAAAAGAATTCCTTAATGTCATCAGAAATCTAGTCAGTGTTCAGATTTCCTGTCAGTCTCATGCACCCATGAGAAAATTCTTATACATATCTTCTGATGTCCCTGTGCAAGAGTTTCCACAGGTGTGTTCTAAGCCTCGAAAGGGAATTTCTGGGTAATGTCCGCCTTTAGAATTTCAAGAATATCTGAGTTGTTTTCCAAAATGGCTGTACTGATTTTCTAGGCCACCTAAAGTGAGGGAGTTTCCACTCAGTTTGCAGCCTGTCCAACTCTGGCTTTCAACTGATTTTATTTTTTTTTCCCATCTGATAGGCATACAAAGAATGCTATGGTTTTGAATTTCATTTTCCTGATTACTAAGGATTTTGAGTTGAATTTAGGTTTAAAATTTAAATTTAAAATAAATTTAAAATTCAATTACAGGAGTTCTTTATTTATTTACTTACTTATTTACTTATTTATTTTTGAGAGAGAAAGACAGAGAGAGTGAGCTGGGGAGGGGCAGAGAGAGAGAGAAACACAGAATCTGAAGCCAACTCCAGGCTCTGAGCTGTCAGCACAGAACCTGATGCGGGGCTTGAATTCATGAACTGTGAGCTCATGACCTGAGCCGAAGTTGGATGTTTAATTGACTGAGCCATCCAGGAGCCCCTATTTGTTTATTTTTAAGTTCATTTATTTATTTTGAGAGAGAGAGAGAGAGAGCACGCACATGTGAGCTGGGAAGGGAGAGGGAGAGAGAGATTCCCAAGCAGGCTCCGCACTGTCAGCACGGAGTCCAGTGCAGGGGTTAAACTCACGAACCATGAGATCATGACCTGAGCTGAAACAAAGAGTCGGACGCTTAACCAACGAAGCCACCCAGGCGCCCTCAGGAGTCCTTCTTTAATGCCATTACTAGTCATTTGTCGATTTTATAAAAGCAAACATCCTACAGCTTTGTGACTAGACTTTTCCTGTCCTTGATGATATCTTTTTGTGAACAGAAAATCTCAGTTTCAACGTGATCAGATTTATTGCACTGTTCTTTTCATTTTCTATTCTTTGTGCCTTTGTTTAAGAGAGCCATTCCTACAGCCCAAGAGACTCTCCTATATTCTTAAAGCTTCATAGTCCTGTCTTTTTATGTTTAGGACTTTAATCCATATAGAATTGACATCTGTGTATGAGATGAGATGGAGATACAGTCTCAACATAGAAAAACAATTGTCCAAGCACCATTTGCTAAATCATCCTCTGCGTCACCAAATTTCAGCCACAAATCTGCCATCCGTAGTTCCCATTCTGCATCTGACATTGGAGACTGATATTTTTTTTAATTTATTCATTTATTTTGAGAGGCGGGGAGGCAGACAGAGGGAGAGAGAGAGAATCCCAAGCAGACTTCACACCGTCAGTGAGGAGCCCTATCCATGCAGGGCTCAAATCACATACCATGAGATCATGACCTAAGCAGAAATCAAGAGTTGGACACTTCAACTGAGCCACCCAGATGCCCCTAAATTGCTATAGAGCTTTTAAATCAGGACCTGATATGTAGGACAAGCCCCACCCCCTTACTACTTTCTGTTACCAATGTGTCCCCCCTGTCCCAGTTGGTACCTCTTTCACATGAACTTCAGAATTAGCCCATCAACTTCCATGAAAAATTATTGAAATTGCATTAGATCTAAAGATTAGACTGAGGAAAACTCACACCATTTAAATACACAGTATTTCTTCAAGAACATACTTCCTTTTATTTAGGTCTTTTCTTCAATGTCCCTCATGACGTTTTATGATTTTTTTCATAAAGAACTTAAGTATAGTTTTCCAAATTGATTAGTTTTGATTAGTCTCATAAATAGAATCTTTAAAAAGTTATTTTACAAAATTATGGAATTGCATGGAAACACTTTCATCCTGTTAAAAATTTCATGTGAATCTCATGTAAAATCTCACTACAAAGTGAACACTTAGGAACCAGCACCCAGGTCAACAGGTAGCCCCTTTCCAGCCCCGGAAGTTCCCTCCCTTTTCATGAGCCCCTCTCTCTTTTATTTATTTTTTTTTAACTTTTTTTTTAAATTTATTTCTAGGAGAGAGAGAGAGAGACAGCGTGAGCAGGGGAGGGTCAGAGAGAGAGGGAGATACAGACTCTGAAATAGGCTCCAGGCTCTGAGCTGGCAGTCAGCACAGAGCCCGACGCGGGGCTCGAACCCACCAACTGCTAGATCATGACCTAAGCGAAAGTCGGACGCTTAACCGACTAAGCCACCCAGGCACCCCCCCCCGCCTCTCTTTTAAAGTGAACCATTTTCCAGAAAAGTAGGATGCATTCTTATTTTTCTATGTTCTTCAAGACTTTTCTATTTCTAAAAATCTGTTTTTTAAATTTTTTTTACAAATGTTATAGCTTTCCTTTCTTTTTCTTGTTTATAATACTAGTCAAACTTCCAGAACAATCTTGGATAGAAATGAGATGAACAGACACTCTTCTGTTGTTCCCAACTTCAAAAGGAAAGGCGTCAGTATTTCACCATTAAGTACATTTTTTCTTCAAATACACTTTTAAATACACTAACAGATTAAATAAGTTCCTTCTTATTCATAATTTGCCATTATTTTTATTAGAGCAGAAGTTACTGAAATGAACTCTATGTTACTGGGCTCTGTTAATATTTTATTTAGGACTTTTACAACTACATTCTGGAACGCGATCAGCTTCTGTGTTTTCTTCTAGGTTATGCTGGTTCACAAAAAGGTTGGGGGCTGTGCCTTCTCTCCTCATTTTCTGGAAAGTCCATAGATGGATGACGACATTTTTCCTAAGTAGTTAGAGAATTCACCAGTGAAACCACATGGGCCTAGAGTTTACTTATTTTCCTTGAGAGAAGGTTTTGAAATTATGTATTTGATGTATTCAATAATGGTGGGACTATTTAAGTTTCCTATTTCATCCCAATGAAGTAATTTATCCACTGTTGCTATTGAGACATCATTTGTTTTAAATTGTTATTCCTTTGTAATGATTGGCCTTTTCTCTCTGGCTTCTTTAAACAACTTTATTTTACATTTGCTGTTCTTTTTATGTATCGCTCTTGTGATTCCTTGGAAATCCCTAAATCTAAGGATTACTTTCTTTCATTGATTCTGGAATATTTAAATTTTTTCTTTCAGCTATTGCTTCTTCCCCATTGTCTCAGTTACTTCTACGAAGCCAGAATTAAACATATGTTGGATTTTCTTATCAGAGCCTCTGTTTCCTCTAACCTCTCTGTTATTATATATTTCATCACTTTGTTTTTCTGTGCTCTATTTTGGATAATTTCTTTTGATCTATATAGCTCACTCATCCTATCTTCAGGTATGTCTAATCTATTCTTTAGCCCCCTCACTGAGTATTTTTTATTTATTATGTCTCCACTCTAAAAGCTCTATTTCATCCTTTTTCAAACATCTTTTTATTAATGTTTATTTATTTTTGAGAGAGAGAGAGAGACAGAGTGTGAGTGGGGGGAAGGACAGAGAGAGAGAAATACAGAATCCAAAGCAGACTCCATTCTCTGAGCTGTCAGCACAGAGCCTGACTCAGGGCTCGAACTCATGGACTGTGAGATCATGACCTGAGCCTGAGTCAGACGCTTAACCGACTGAACCCCTAGGCACCCCTCAAGCATCTTTGATTCATTTTAGAGTCTACTAGTGCTTAGTCATAACTTAAAATTTCTTTTTGAAATTTACTTAACCATATAAATCATACTTGGGTATTTTCTCCATCTGATAATTTCCATTATCTCAACCCTCTTTGAGTTTTATTCTGCTCTTTTTTCTATGTGTTCTCATTCATGGTTCTGGACTTCTGTATGAAAAATGTCACATTTATAATGACTATGCTCTTTACTTGACGATTCTATTGTTGCTTATCATAACCTTGAACTAAAGAAAAAGAAATCTGCCGTTTAATTGCTTCTTTGGGGGTTTCAACATTTCTTCATCCTTTTCATCAAGGCATTGCTATAGTCTCATTCCTGGTCTACGTAGTTGGTCCAATATCGCCTTGCTGTCCTGGCCTCCTGCAATGAGGAAAAGTGGAAAACTGTATATAAACTCCGAAGGCCAAGTGCCACACCCAAATGCACTTACCGCACCTACAGACCCAAGTTCTTGGCCACTTTTCTTATTCACCAAGGAGTTAGAAAACAACTTACCACCCCCCCAACCCCTGCTATTATCCTGGGACTTTCCCTCTCTTCAGGCTGCTGACCCATCTAATTCTCGGCCCCAGAAATCTCCACTGAGGGCAGGTGCCTTCTCTCTTACTCCTCGGCTTTGCCCAGAGCTGCTCAGATCCAGAAATCCTACTGGGCATCCTGCTCTGACCACAGTCTCCTGTCCCCCAACTTCTCCTGTTTTCCTTCCCGCTCTAATCCTCCTTCGTTCGCCCTGGAACTGCAGTGCCTAAGTCCTGGGCAGAGAAAAGACGGGAGCAAACCACAACGCGGTGAGTGTGAATCGCTTGTTCCAAAGTCAGAGGTACTGTGGTCATCATAGGAGTAGGCTCATCCCTTGTGTGTCCTGGAAGGTTGATCCTAAAGGAGAGACAGAGAGAGAGAGACTTGAAGACTATATTTAAATTTTCATCTACACATAAACTCTTAAAATGGTATTAACACCACTGTACATTATTTTCTGCAAATACAAGATTTTTTCCACTTCATTGAACTTTATAACGTTAAACATTTTTGGATCACAGACCTCTTTTAAAATATAATCTTTATATTTTTTAAATTTTTTTAATGTTTTATTTATTTCTGAGAGAGAGAGAGAGAGAGAGACAGCGTGAGCAGGGAAGGGTCATAGAGAGAGGGAGGTACAGAATCTGAAATGGGCTCCAGGCTCTGAGCTAGCTGTCAGCACAGAGACAGTGCAGGGCTCTAACCCATGAACCATGAGATCATGACCTGAGCTGAAGTCGGACGCTCAACCAACTGAGCCATCCAGCTGCCCCAAAATCTAATCTTTAAAGACAGCACCTTGTGAATCCTTTCTCCAAGAAAAATCACATGTACATAATCATATAAAATATATTTTAAGTGCTTTACACCCCCAAGCTTAAATATCCTTTGTAAACACCTCGATCTACTAGACATTTGCCAACAGATTTCCCTATTCAGCGGCTCTCTGAAGACTCTCACTTGCAAATTTTTTATTGCATATACATTCACATTTACCAAAATCTATATACCTCTTTTTCTTTTTTTAAAAATTCTTTAATGTTTGTTTATTTTTGAGACAGAGAGAGAGTACAAGCAAGGGAGTGACAGAGAGAGAGGGAGACACAGAATCCAAAACAAGCTCCAGGCTCTGAGCTGTCAGCACAGAGCCAGATGCAGGGCTTGAACTCACAGACTGTGAGATCATGACCTGAGCCAAAGTCAGACACTCAAATGAATGAGCCACCCAGGAGCTCCAACCTCTTTTCCTGATCATGTGAATCCATAAGGCAATTATATCTCAGGCTGGAAATTTTGATCACTGGGGAAATCATGGAGACGTTTTCAAAATTTTGGAAATAAGGCATATAAATTTCAGGCTGGCATTTTATACTCAACAATTCTGCTTTGGAAGACGCTTTGAGAGCCACAGATCTTGGCTAAATAAAACAGCCTCTGCTGCTAGCAAGACAAACTAATCTTCACTGGAACCAATTATCAGAGAAATGAAAACAAATCACTACTAACAAGGGCCTGTGTGCGTGCATGAGCACATGGGTGTGTGCAGGAGAAAAAGATCTCCATTGCAACTTGCATGAAAATCCAAGCAAATAAATGACTCAGGAGGAGGGCACACCTGCTATGTGTTGGCTTAAAGTTAAAACATCTATAATTGCGTAGAATTTGAGGGCTATCCAGGAAACAGAGATCAGAGGACAATTGGTATCAGATGGTCCTGTCCTGTCTTCAGCTCTGGGTCTATGCTGCCCAGAAGAGCGCCATCCGTGACATTTTTTGGAGGGCAGAAAGCAGATGGCGAGGATGTGGAGAAACGGGCACCCTCCTACACTGTTGGTGGGAATGTAAGCTGGGGCAGCCCCTCTGGAAAACAGTGTGGAGGTTCCTCAAAAAATGAACAACAGAACTCCCCTATGACCCAGCAATAGCACTGCTAGGAATTTACCCAAGGGACACAGGAGTGCTGATGTATAGGGGCACATGGACCCCAATGTTCATAGCAGCACTCTCCACAATAGCCAAAACATGGAAAGAGCCTAAGTGTCCATCAGCTGACGAATGGATCAAGCAGATGTGGTTTATCTATACGATGGAACACTACATGGCAATGAGAAAGAATGAAATCTGGCCACGTGTAGCAACATGGATGGACCTTGAGGGTGTTGTGCTGAGCGAAATAAGTCAGGCAGAGAAGGACAGATACCATCCATATTTTCACTCATAAGTGGAACAGGAGAAACTTAACAGAGGACCATGGGGGAGGGAAAGGGAAAAAAAATAGTTAAGGAGAGGGAGGGAGGCAAACCATAAGAGACTTTTAAATATTGAGAACAAACTGAGGGCAGATGGGGGTGGGGGGGAGGGGAAGGGGGGGATGGGCATGGAGGAGGGCACTTGTGATGAGCACTGGGTGTTATATGGAAACCAACTTGACAATAAACTATTAAAAAGAAAAAAAGAAAGCAGAGTTCATTGGATTAAGAGGACCCTCCAACTCCTTACCAGCTACCGACTGGCATGGAGCCTGCACCAGATTTCTCAGGCATCACCGGCCTCTGGGCTAAGCTGCATCTTTATGGGGAGAGTATGACGGTCACACTTTAAAGTACAAGTTGCCTTAATGAAAATATGAGCTGTGTCCCTCTCACTCATGCTGAAAAGGACTCCGAGAAGAAAAGTGGATGTTGAGAGAACACCAAAGGAGTAAGAGACTGACTCCAGGCGCCTTGTCTTGAAGGCTGTACCGCGTCACATCGGAACCGACTACCACTAAAATCAACTGTACCACACACCCCGCTGAACACAGCCAGAGGCCGGGCTGTAACTGGGTGCCTCTCTGGCGGGAGGCAGGCGGGCCCGGGCTGCTTCTGCTGGTGGACCTGGTCACCGCGAAGGAGTGTAAGATGCTTGGCCAAGGAGCGCGTGCTCCTTGACACGCGACGCACTCTCTAGGGCGCTACCTGCATCAGCTGCATACACAGAACCCGGCTTGTACGAAGAACTCCACGTCCACATTGCTGGTAGCAGGTCCTGGGTGCACTTAAAGCACCTTATGGACGTTACTCAACTGAGTCCTCGTGAGACCCTAGGTGGGCACCTCCGAGCGCCCTGTACAAAGTGAGGAAACCAAGGCCAGGCCTGACAAAGGCCTCGTGGGCGGACGGGGCGGACACGGGTCGAATCAGGTATGTCCCACAAGGCCTGGGATGCCCTTCTGCCTCGGAGTGAGAAGGGGGGGTGGGCGCTCTGTAGAGATAGATGGAAAACTGAACCAGAGGAGTTCATTCATTCATTCATTCATTCATTCATTCATTTAAGAAAACTTAGCTGAGCTCCTGCTGAGCTTCTGACTGACCCAGAAGCAGGAAGCATGCAGCAAACACAGCACCTGGGTCCCCTCGCTGAGCTTCCAACATGGGGCACAGCGGGGAAGGGCAGGGGGAAGACACGCAAAGGGCGGGTCTGTGGTGAGGGTGGTGGAAAATGCGGCGCACCCGCCTTTTCCTAGGGGCATCCTGGAAGGCTTCCCAGAGAAAGTGGCCTCAGGCTGAGATCTCAGGTAGGAGTCTCCCCTCTAAATCTGGCATCCTGAGCTTTCAGTCACTTTTACCCTTTCCCTGCCAAATTCTCAAAAGCTGCACTTTGGGATTTTTTGCAAGATTTCTCCTTTCTGGCATTTCTTTTTTAGGCTACTCACATGCCACCCCGGGCTGCGTGGTGTCCTGTTGTTTTCTGACCGGGATCTTCTGTTTTACCAGCTGGGCTGTCGGATGTCAGGAAGCTGAGGGTGGGCAGCGCGGGGGGCCGCTGCCTCGGTGGGCGTGCGTCTCCCGTCCTCCGAGCCCCGGGCCCAGGCCATGCTCCCCGCTGCCCGTGTCCACTTGGGAACACGCACTCCCGCTTTCGGAAGCAAACGTTACATTCAGAATAAGAGTATCGACTTTTAAAACGGAACTCGGTAAAGCTGGACTAGAAAGAGCATTAAAATGTGGGTTTATTTACTCATACTGTAAAATCTTGCATGCCCTTTGATATTTTAGGAGATAGTTCCTATTGCCAAGGAATAGCATTCGCCCCCCGTCATACTCTGGGGGCTCTTCCTGTCTGGTCACCCCTGCGTGGCAGCCTTGCGGGGCAGGGCCCTGACAGTGGGGGGAGGGGAAGGGAAGCCAGAACACAGAAAGGCAAGCTCTGTTCACCTTGTGTTTTGTTTTTAAGTAGACTCAAGATTCTATTTTTATCTCTGCAGAAGCGCCCCTCGCCCTTCTGTCCTCTGGCCGCCACATTAAGACCCAGAATGGAAATGCAAGTTGGTTAGTTCTGAACAGCAGCCCCCCACTTCCAGGAAGCCCTCCCGCATTCATCAGAGCTTTTGCAGGAGAGTCTGCTGACACGCAGCAGGGAACCCCTCCACCCTGCCCGCTGTGCTGGCCCCTCGCCCACACCCCCCCCTAAGACAGAGCCTCACTGTGCAGCTTCAGACCAAGACGACACTGACCAGGCCTTGGGCTCTGCCCTCTGGGTCCACATCTGCAAGCCAGCCGTCCGTCTGCAGCAGGCTGCTCGCGGTAGCACCAGGCAGAGAAAAGCAAACAGAAGCAAGCCGTCAAGCTCCGCCCGCCTCGAACACACAGGGCTGCTGTTAGAATGCGCTGGGCGGTGTGTCCTGCTGGGGCCCCACGGCTCCTAGCGGTCCTGGAAGAAGCAACGCTCCCCGCGGTGAAGGGAGCGTTCAAGGCCCCAGGCGGCCACGGGCGGACGGGTTACATGCGCGGTATCTGCCCATTACTGTAGCCTGTGAACCTGCATTTTCCTTTTACACCTACAGAGAATTGAAAATAAAGTCTGGCATAAGATGGGCCTCGATCCGGGAAGTTTGGGGCCAGAGAAGTGCCAGTTGTCGAAGGGAGGGCTCCCGGACCGCAGTGGCCCGTCTCCGCTGGGCCGCCGACGGCTGTGGACTTGAGAGCCTCGCGGCCGCTGAGCTGTGACCCGTGACCAGAACCCGCCATCATTCGGGGGTCACAGGGACGTCAGTCCTCGGGGAAGCGCGCACAGTGGCGCGGTCAGTGTCAGAGGCACCCCTGAAGTCAAGTTCCGGACCCCACGGCGACCCCACCGCAAGGACGCCTCCAGCCAGGTGGCCCTGCGGTGACAACGGCAGGCCCCGTCCTCAGCAGGGCTCCGTGCGAGCCTGGAGCAAGGCTGGCGTATTGTGAGATCACAGACCAGCTGCGCCCAGGCCCCCGGCCTTCCTGCTCCTCCTGGCCAGGCGGGTGGAGCAGACACAGGGTGGGGGGGAGCCCCCGGGGGAGGGCTGCTGGGGGCTGGGGCTGGGGCTGGGGGGCGAGGGGCGGGGGGGGGTTGGTGAGACAGGTGCCTGCAAGCCCGTCTGCCGTCCGTCTCTGTGCACAGCGCACGGCGAACAGCAACGAAGGAGCAAACTCAGCCTTCTATCAGCTCCAGGGACAGCTGCTGACACAGGAGGCTGCGCGGTAATTAGAGGGCGCGGTACCCGCCTCTGAGGCGCTAAGATGAAGGATGTAACTCGCCGCCGGACAAGTTCAGCCGCAGCTGAGGCAGGCGCTAGTGAGAGAAGTAGATGAATCTTGGAATGCCTCCCGGAGGAGGTGATGGGTTGGCTAACAAAAGGAAAGAGGTGAAGGGAGTGGGCTGAACCCAGTCATCTATAAAGGCGGGGAGTGGGGAAATACGTTAGCGAGGGTGACAAAACGTGGTCCGGGGGGCACGATGCCCGCGGAAGGCACCCCGTAGGGCTAATACGTGTCGTTGCCTCTGGTCGTGGGCCGAGCAGGGCGAAGCATCTTCCTTTGCCTCTGCGGCTACCCCTGCACCGGTCCCTGGCTGGAGCCCCAGGCCCACCACCGACGGCGTGTGGGGTCCTGGGACACCCCCCCCCCGCGTGGGGCCTCGGGGCTCAGACATCCCCCAGCGTGTTCACGGGGCTTTTGGTCAGCGCTGGGGGAGGAAACTCAGCCAGCCCGTCACTGTCCACTTGGCCGCGGAGCTAAGCCTGGAGCGCCCAGAAGTGCATCCATCCCGCACGTCCCTCTGCCCGAGTGGCCGCGGAAACACCACCCCGCTGCCTGAAACTTGGCTCCGAGCCTGGCGGCGCTCGCACCAACTTGGCAAAGACATTCCTTTTCCCAGCTGGGTCTTCCTTCGCCTCTGCCTTGCTCAGAACCCTAAACCTTCACACGTCTACACACACGAGATACGCAAATAAGTGTGCTGCAGGAAAACTAAGCAAACAGGATTTTTGAAAACGTAATCTTCCATCTTTTTAAAGTTAAAATGTTGCGGTTTTTCTCAGCCACAAAAGTGAAGAGGGTGTCTCCTAAGCGAGTCAGTGACATGTTGTAAAGCGGCCCGATGAACTCAGGGGCCCCAGCTTCACGTCATGTCTTGGACGTGGCCCCCAGGTTGGCCGTATCCATGTCCAGGAAGAAGAGCTGACCGCCGTGTGTCCGTCCAGGCCCCTTCTGTGTCTGTGATTCCTTGAATCAGTTGAATCCCACCAAACAGAACACGTTGAAGACATTCAGCCATTTTTTGATGGGAAGGACAGCGGCGCAGGGAGGTCCCCAGAGCTCACCGGGCAGCCACAGGCAGGGTCCGGAGCTGCCACTGGGACCTTCCGGACCGGAGCCGCACCTGCATTTCCGAGGCCAGACCACACTCTTGCTACAGACTGCCGGTCCCCCAACTGTGTGAGCTGATTAGAGGGGGATACAAAATTACTTACCCCCCTAAATCGTGACAACAAAGGCTGTGTTTCTCTCTTCAGTCAAAACAGTGTGGCTGACTGATTCAGATGCTAATAGCCGGACCTGAATTGGCCCCTAAAAGGGAGAGGCTCTTCCCTGCAAACAACCAGAAAGTCACTGCTTTGCTGCAAGAAATCTGCAGGATTCTTCCAGTCGGACGTTCTGCTAAACCGCTTCCTGGGAAACATCCTTGTGGTGGCCTGGGGTGCAGCGCGCTCGGTGCGTGGGTTCCGCAGAAGAGGCGAGGGCCTTCACTCGGAAAGAGGCTCTGACTCAAAGAACACAGTATCTTCTGTCACCCCCATCCCTGTTCCCTGACCTGGGAGATACCCACTTGAGGCGGATGATGGAGAGATTTTAAAACTGCTCTCCTCTGTCTCCCTTTTGCCTTCATTACAGTGCGTTCCGGTAATATTTGGTTTTGCGTTTGCCTCGTCCACCAACCATGCAACTCTGCACATCCTGACTGGGAACCTTCGCTGTGCCCGCGGGGGGCCCGCTGCTCACCAAGTGACCGGCGCCCGTGTTCCCTGGGTGCCCTGGGGGGGTCAGCCCCTCGCTGCTGCCATGTGCGTGTCTGGTGGAGAAACACTGACTTTAAGTTTGTGCCAGGAAGATGCCTTCACAATTTCCAGCCCTGACAGGATTATTATATGATCCTCGAGGGTAACGATCCCTTCCCCAAGGCTACTTCCCACAGTCCCTGACTGTCCCCAAGGGAGGGGGTTACTCTGGTTTACTCTCTAGATCCACACTCTGACAGCTTCTTTCTTGCCGATTGGCCTTTGTGACACTTTTTTAAATATTTATTCACAGAGAACGTGAACAGGGGAGGGGCAGAGAGGGAGGGAGACGCAGAATCCCAAGCGGGCTCCAGGCTCCGAGCTGTCAGCGCAGAGCCACCCAGGCGCCCTGTGACACTTCTTTTACTGGGGAATAGTTTGCCACCACTTTGTAGAGGGACCGTTCTCTCGTGGATCTGTGACAAGGCAGTGAATAGGAGTTTGCAAACTACTGTTTAGAAAATCCACACACACTTACACATTCAGGAAGCAGCTCACCTCCTGGAGAAGTCCATGTTGGCGAGGGAAACAGAATACGCCTGATGTAAGCGGCGAAGGTATGTTTTGCCTCGGGATTCCTTCTCCTCTGACTTACACATAATCTTGTTCTGAAACAAACGTTTTATTTTGGTTTTCTGTTCACGTCCTGCCTCCGAGGCTGGAATGTAGAACCGTCGGGATGGGTTCCTCTCCCTCCTTACGCCTCTGCCACACAGATCAATCTAGCACACTCGGGCAGCACACTCTTTCTTGAGTTGTGCAAATCTAGCATGAATTCTTCCTAGTTTATACTGCTTCTGCTTCCGGATGGGATGCATGTCAAAATATTCTGCACGTGCTGTAAGTTCTTTGACTCCTCAGCCTTGGTCGTCCAGGATAAATTAGTTCATGAGAGCAGGCTATTGCTGCCAGGAAGCAGGAGTATCTGACAGACAGCGAGGTACCCAGGCTCACACTGGTAAAAAGAAAGAAAGGAAGGAAGGAAGGAAGGAAGGAAGGAAGGAAGGAAGGAAGGAAGGAAGGAAGGGAAGGAAGGAAGGAAGGAAGGAAGGAAGGAAGGAAGGAAGGAAGGAAGGAAGGAAGACCAAAAAAAGAAAAAAAGAACAGCAAATGGACAGGAGTGCCTGAATGGCTCCGTCGATTAAGTGTCTGGCTCTTGGTTTCAACTCAGGTCATGATCTCACGGTTTGTGAGTTCGAGCCCCACATCAGGCTCTGTGCTGATAGTGTAGAACCTGCTTGGCATTCCTTCTCTCTCCCTCTGTCTCTGCCCCTCCCCTGCTCACCCTCTGTCTCTCTCAGAATAAATAGACTTAAAACAAAAACAAATGGACAGTATTAAGTGCAGCATAATTAATGGTGTTACCAAGTACAATATTTGAAATAATATTTTATTTGTTTAATTTTTTTAAGGTTTTATTTATTTCCGAGAGAGAGAAAGACAGCGTGAGCAAGGGAGGGTCAGAGAGAGAGGGAGACTCAGAATTGGAAGCAGGCTCCAGGCTCTGAGCTAGCTGTCAGCACAGAGCCTGATGCGGAGCTTGAACCCACAAACTGTGAGAATCATGACCTGAGCCAAAGTCCGACGCTTAACTGACTAAGCCACCGAAGCGCTCCGAGATAATATTTTAAAAATCCAAAAATAGTCACCTAAACTGCACCACTCTAAGAAAATGAGGAGAAATTGTTTTTTTTTTTTTAAGAACTATAGAAGTAGCTAGAAAGTTAGACCCAGCTGAATCCCAAATGAAAGAATTAGGTTTGTGAAAATTTCAAAGAGATGGAAAAACAAGAAATAAGAAGCAAGAAGGAATGTAAGGGGGGGCCTGGAAGGATGCAGGCAAGGGCGTTTTCAACCCCCGTGGTCCTTGAGGAGGAAATTATTACACGTAAATCCTCAGTGAGCCCACAATCGTGACCCATCCTTGAACTTCACGTCCGAGGGACAGAATCGGGCACCCATGGTGACAGCAGGTCACTCATCGGAATCACAGAAATTACCTGAAGAGCTTGATAACAGTAGATCCCTGGGCCCCAACACAGACTAGCCATATCCGAGTCTTTGGAGAAAGACTTAGAACTGCATGTTTTTACCGAGCACCTCCAGTGGCCGAGAACCCAGGTGTAGCCGAGTCTGGCTCAGGACAGCAAATCGGTCTTTGTGAAGAGCCCAAACGTATGCAAGCAACTTACCACTGTATTCTTTGCTTAAAGCATCAAATACAGGGGCGTCTGGGGGGCTCAGCCTGTTAAAGATCCGACTTCGGCTCAGGTCATGATCTCATTGTTCATGAGTTCCAGCCCCGCGTCGGACTCTGTGCTGACAGCTCGGAGCCTGGAGCCTGCTTGGGATTCTGTGTCTCGTGCTCTCTCTGCCCCTCCTCTCTCTCCCTCATAAATAAATAAATGTTTAAAAAAATCAAATTTAAAGCTAGACTGTATTAGCAGTAGGCCAAGTTTTGGTTTATAAGTTAAAGGCCCACATAAGTGCACGTGTGTATTTCCAGTGTGGCTACGCGGTCAGGCTCGTGGTGATAAACACATCCCAGGATTTCTAGATTATGTATATTCACAGGATTTTATAGCCCGGATGAGCCACCAAGAAGGTCATCCATCAAGCTCCCTCATCTGACAGACAGCAGCTGCGCCTCCGTGAGCCGTGTAGGTTTGTGCATCCGTGCACGCATGAGCACACGTCACAGGCGTGTGTCTTTACCCCTTCCTGATTTTGGGAGAATTCTGGAGCCGACACCCTCACCCTATAGCCTGTACATAACGAGAAACAGAGTCCAGTTCTAGTTCTAACCATGATAGGAAGTCCTTGGGGGAACGTTTGTTCATTTAGTTTCATGAATTTCAAGAATTCACATGCCTCTTAAGGAGGCCAAATATTTCTCAGGCTATACTGATGTCCCCTCGACATGCTTCAGAAAACTAAGTCTGGCCTTGTGATTGGCAAAGGGAAGTCTGTCCTCAGTGAAGAGGGACGCGGCTGGCACCGTCACGTCTGCCTCAGCATTCAGCTGGGCTTGGTTACTATTCTCAAGGTAAAGAAAGCATTTGTCTGAAAAAAAATAAAAATTAAAAAAACCAAGAGAAGCAGTTGTCTGAATCCTTTCGGTTTTTTTCTTCTCTACTATGGAATCTTCTAGATTCCACTTTGTACCCCCAGCACCTAGGGCCTTCTCTCAAGTACAGACCGCCTGGCCTGACTGGAGGGGTGAAGCGGAAACAGGAGGGGGGGGGAGGGGAGCCAGCTCACCTGGTCCCGGCCTCGGGCCCGCTTCTCTGCCGCCTCCCACCTTCTCCTCCACTCCGCCAGCCGAGAAGGCAGGTCCTGAGAGGGGACAGGAGACGGGCTTTTACCCACAGCCGCCGGCGCCGCCGGCCACCGAGGCCGCAGCCTCACGGAGTCCTTCCGATCTGCAGCGCAACGCGAGGGAAGCTCGACCCGGGCCAGGTCCACACCGACGTAGGCTAAAGGCGCACGGTGTCCCACAGCACTGTCAGGGACGCCGTCGCCGCTCGTGTTGCCCCCCTCCCCTCCCCCCCCCCCCCCCGCGAGGGAAGCTCGACCCGGGCCAGGTCCACACCGACGTAGGCTAAAGGCGCACGGTGTCCCACAGCACTGTCAGGGACGCCGTCGCCGCTCGTGTTGCCCCCCTCCCCTCCCCCCCTCTCCCCCTCCCCCCTCCCCTCCC